TAATATTATTCATTCCTGTGTTTTTAGATAGCAAGTGCAGACTAATCAGATGACTTTATATTTCTACCCTGTTGTATGTAATATTGAAAAAACACTCGGCTCACAATAGAGTTAACATGAATTTGACTGCGAAAAATTGTTATTATGGCTCTAGTTACACTATGACATGAATTCAGTTTATAAGAATATGGTAGCGTGTTAATAAAGTTACAATGTCTGTCTTCAAAAACGTTCTTGAAGCGCAATGAGAACGCAACTATCACCGCAGGGCGTGCATTTAAACTCAGCCACTTAGGTCCGCGGTTCAATCAGCGGAAGGAGACTTCTTTGAAGACGCTGGCGCTCACCTGCAGACAGAGAGGAAAGTGGCTGGTATGTTGGCATCAAGCTGTGGGAGCATGTAATTACTCGTGTCACGTGAATCGTGGGATTGCCTAGGGCCCACAACGCTTTTAGCGAAGATGGGGGGGGGGGGGGGGGGGGGGTGGGTGGGGGGGGGGGGATGGGGGGTGGGGGGGGGGGGGGGGGGTGATCTGAAGACTCGCCACCAAAGCGAAGGTCGACAGCATGTGCTGCATGAGTTCCCAAAGCGTAACGTTCCTTTCCTGCTGCACAATGATAATCGACAAGCCGTTCAGAAGTAGACGTTACATTTTCCTAGACATGAAGAGTGCGTCGATGTTAATCAGCATTGCCAATGAACATAAGTGGGAAATTTCATTCAACTATTTACACACGTAACATTCATCCTGAGTTGTTGGCACATGAAGCGACTGTCGTGCACAGGTTGCTTTCTGATGCAAAGATTTCTTGTGGTACCAGACGAACAAACATTACATGAGTGACGTTGCTTATAAAAATGGAGCAAATGTCACATGTGTAACCTCTTTAAATAAATTGTCTTGATCGTATTTATTGAAAAACCGAGATTTTCAATCCGTCTACATGCCTTATAATTTTGATATATTAATTCGAGACATTCTGTACAAATAGAGGCTGCATTACGGTCACTGACAGCTAGAGCTTGTTCCGTGACGTTCCGTTCCGTGATCCGAAATTTTCCTACTGCACTTTTGTGACTACAGCACAATTATTTTGGTGATTTCTCTACGGTTATAGAACCGCGCTATAAATTGAACATTGTGGTTTAGAATATTTTATTGATTCCTTTTCTGCATCAACTGAATGAGTTATATTCTTTCCGAGAGTGACAACTATTAAGGTAATTAAGGTATTGCCATAAGTGTAGTGAATGTTATATCATGGGAGTGTGATCCAGTCCCCTGAAACAAGACATTCAAGCGTCGACTAAGACGCCAGCTTGCGTATTCCCACCTCCAGGTATCTCTCTCTGCGCGGTCACTGACCCAACGGGGCAAAGTAGAAAGCTACCGATTGGTCTTCTGGGATGTGTGGTAGTGTATATGTGGATACGTATTTGGGAGAGGAGGGGACAAGGACGTTGGGGGAAAGATTGCGTTGGGATTTGCGGTATTTTGTCAATGTTGCGCTCCAACATTCCGTGTATTAATTGGAGAGCGAGAACCTACGGAGAACTATAGACCACAGTCGCCGAGAACTTCGTACCAAATGTAAAATTTTCCGCGTCTATCAAGCGTCGAAGACAACCGTATTAACGCGTTCTGATGCTGTTGGTTTTCTTTTGTCATTTTTTCTCTTCTTCGGTTTTAGAAAACACAATGAGTAATAGCAAGGATCTTAGAAGCCCAAATTCACCGAATAGGTTTTTACACCGCAGTATAGCGTAGACGATATATGTTCGATCTGCCTGATGTGCATAAGTAGCAACGACTTCGGCATCATAGAAGTACGAAAGGAGCGACAGGAAATGATTTTGCTCCAGGGTTGGAGTACAGCTTGCGCACGGCAGCGACAGCTCCCTGGCTGAGGAACGATTTCTGCGGTGGCTGGCAACGTAGTGTAAGAATAATTCCGGGTAGTAGCAGATATCTTGTGGTAATCCACAATATGGTAAGGAATAATCTCCACAGACGTTTTAATAATTTTTATTAATAATTTCCATAGTTAACTTCGGGGAAAACACTTTTCCCATCCTCAGTGGATCTCTATCAAAGATGGAGAAATGAAAACATTACCATATAATAGAGTAGAATGGCTCTACACTGTGCTACAGCCAGGCAGTTCACGATTATTGAAAATAATTGCCAAATGGTGGCACTTTAAATACGCGCTTTCAACGACTTCTCCGGGCACTTATTGTCTTCGTAGAAAATGTTGAAATAAGATAAATAAACGTTTTTACGAACATTTTCGCACAAGATACTCGAATACAGGCAGGGTGGCGGACAGTACCGACGGCAGGAAGGGATTATTGTTGTATATACCCCCGACGTTACCATTCTAAAATAATACATTTTAAACCCAATAACGAAGTTAAATCTTGACCGAAGTTATGAAGAATAATCAGGAAAATACGAATAATATGTGATTGTATATTAATAGTAATAATTAGTAATAATGGTAATAATTACTGTAAAAAACAACGAGTGTGCAAATTACAAATAGAGAAAATACTCAAAGAATATTGGAGCACAGGCAAAAGTTAATCATTTACACAGAAATTTTAATAGGAATAAATAGTTAACATTAAAGTAGTAGAAAGAAGGAAGGTAAAAAATGTAAATTTTACAATCAGAAAAATTATGTTGTTTTAAGCACTCAACATGCTAAAAAAATCGACAATAGAGTATCAATTTAGAAATTGGAATATGAACCGGCTACAATAAATTGTGAGAAAATAATTTCCGTTAATAGTTTAAAATTATATCCTCGAAAGGAAAATAATCGTTCGTTCGTGAACCCCAACGGAAAGAATCAGTGATGAGGGCGAATTTTCTTACGAAAGCGTTTTTACCGAGTTTCCTTACTAAAGAAAATTTAAAATGTCAATAAAATTAGATGCAATCAGGGTAAAACAATAATTCATATCGTGTTTTCTAAAGTCGCTGGTTTCGGAAACCTGATGTCAGGACCAACAAAAAAAGAAAGAACATTCTTTAAGACAGAGGTGCATTTCTACAAATTTAATTTTTTTATCCTTTTTTTAAAGTCTTGAATTTCTCGATTCAATTCCGTGTTAGCATGAATGCCAGTATTAACACGGAGCAGAGTTTTTTCCCTGGGGAAGTAACTGTTTCGTCAAGTGGAGCGAAGGCGTGGGGTCTGTGGTGCCTCCACTTTGATCCTTCTCAGCTGAGAAAAATGAAACTGCGAAATCGGGAATCAAAATGTGGAAGGGCATAGTCCCCGGCCGAAGTGGAGATCTGTTGATCTCCTCTGCTTAGGGTGTAGAGACCGCCGGGCTCTTGGGACCGCCCAAGTGGGGTACCGGGTGCTGGGTCGGCATATCAATGATGAGGGAACAAAGCAGTTGCCCAGGTTCACTGGTGTTGTTAACACCGCTCTACTCCTTTATCCTTTATTATTATTATTATATTATTATTATTATTATTATTATTATTATTATTATTATTAATGTCAGTACTAAGCGGAGCAGAGATTTTTTCCGCCGAGAAGTAACCGTTTCGTCAAGGCACTTACGTCGGGAGGCTTCAAGTAACTAGCAATGCGTTTGAAGCGCATCGCACATTCCAGCAGCTCATGCGTGCCAGCGCTGCGCGTACGAAGGCGCGGGAAACATCTGAGATATGTTGAGTCACGCTCCATCGCCACGCTGGCATCCCGTCCAGCAGGCAGCAGCTCCGTCGCGGAGATAGGAGAGTGAACATGCGCTGAACATGTTGTTTTTTAAAAAAAGTGACCTTTCAGACCCCACCTTATATACGAGGTATGAAATTATTTTGGGTCGTGTAGCGTGGTCAGTAATGCCCTATACGCCTATCATAATAGTAATTGTTATTATTATTAATTTTATTAATTTTGGTATTATTGCTATTATTAATGTTATTAATGTTGTTATTATTGTTATTATTATAACAATATTTACAATAATGTTTATTATAAAAGTAAATTTCATACCTGCGTATATAAGGTGGGGTCTGAAGGTCACTTTTTTAAAAAAACATGTTCAGGCATGTTCACTCTCCTATCTCCGCGACGGAGCTGCTGCCTGCTGGACGGGATGCCAGCGTGCGATGGAGCGTGGCTGACATATCTCAGATGTTTCCTCGAGCTTCGTACTGCAGCGCTGGCACGCATGAGCTGCTGGAATGTGCGATGCGCTTCAAACGCATTGCTAGTTACTTGAAGCCTCCGGACGTAAGTGCCTTGACGAAACGGTTACTTTCCGGGGAAAAAATCTCTGCTCCGCTTAGTACTGACATTAATAATAATAATAATAATAATAATAATAATAATAATAAAGGAGTAGAGCGGTGTTAACAACACCAGTGAACCTGGCAAGCCCTTTGTTCCCTCATCATTGATATGCCGACCCAGTCAACCCGGTACCAACTTTGGGCGGTCTCAAGAGCCCGGCGGTTTTGACACTCTAAGCAGAGGAGATCAACAGATCTCCACTTCGGCCGGGACTATGCCCGGGACATTCTGATGATTTCCGACAGTTTCATTTTTCTCAGCTGAGAAGGATCAAAGGTGGAGGCATCACAGACCCCACGCCTTCGCTCACTTGACGAAACAGTTACTTCCCAGGGAAAAAAACTCTGCTCCGGTTAATACTGGCATTCATGCTAACACAGAAATTGAATCGAGAAATTCAAGATATTCAAAAAATGAATAAAAAAATTAAATTTGTAGAAATGCACCTCTGTCTTAAAGAATGTTCTTTCTTTTTTTTGTTGGTCCTGACATCAGGTTTCCGAAACCAGCGATTTTAGAAAAACAAATATGAATTTATTTACCCTGATTGCATCTATTTTTATTGACATTTTAAATTTTTCTTTTAGTAAGGAAACTCGGTAAAAACGTTTCGTAAGAAGAATTCGCCTCATCACTGATTCTTTCCGTTAGGGTTACGAACGAACGATTATTTTCTTTCGAGGATATAATTATTAAACTATTAAGCGGAAATTATTATTCTCACAATTTATTGTAGCCGGTTCATATTCCAATTTCTTAAATTGATACTTATTTCGATTTTTTAGCATGTTGAGTTGCTTAAACAAACTAATTTTTCTGATTGTAAAATTTACATTTTTTACCTTTCCTTCTTTCTACTAACTTTAATGTTAACTATTTATTCCTATTAAAATTTCTGTGTTAAATGATTTAACTTTTGCCTGTGCTCCAATATTCTTTGAGTATTTTCTCTATTTGTAATTTGCACATCGTTGTTTTTTACAGTAATTATTACCATTATTATAATTATTACTATTAATATTACCATCACTATTATTCGTATTTTCCTGATTATTTCTTCCATAACTTCGGTCAAGATTTAACTTCGTTATTGGGTTTAGAAATGTATTATTTTAGAATGGTAACGTCGGGGGTATATACACACAATATCCCTTCCCTGCCGTGGTACTGTCCGCACGCCTGCCTGTATTCGAGTATCTGTGCGAAAATGTTCGTAAAAAGTTTATTTATTCTTATTTCAACATTTTCTACCGAAGACAATAAGTGCCCGGAGAAGTGGTTGAAAGTCGCGTATTTAAAGTGCCACCATTTGGCAATTATTTTTCAATAATCGTGAACTGCCTGGCTGTAGCACAGTGTAGACATTCTACTCTATTAATATGGTAATGTTTTCATTTCTCCATTTTGATAGAGATCCACTGAGGATGGGAAAAGTGTTTTCCCGAAAGTTAACTATGGAAAATTATTAATAAAAATTATTAAAACGTCTGTGGAGATTATTTCCTTTACCATATTGTGGATTACCACAAGATATCTGCTACTACCGCGGAATTTATTTTACACTACGTTGCCAGCCACCGCAGAAATCGTTCTCAGCCAGGGAGCTGTCGCTGCCGTGCGCAGTGTACTCACAACCCTGGAGCAAAAGTTCATTTTCCTGTCGCTCCTTTCGTACTTCTATGATGCCGAAGTCGTTGCTACTTGATGCACATCAGGCAGATCTGAAACATATATCGTCTACGGTATACTGCGGTGTAAGAAACCTCATTCGTGAATTTGGGCTTCTAAGATCCCTTGCTATTACTCATTGTGTTTTCTAAAACCGAAGAAGAGAAGAAAATGACAAAAGAAAACCAACAGCACTAGAACAGCGTTAATACGGTTGTCTTCGAGCTCTGATAGACGCGGAAAATTTTACATTTGGTACGAAGTTTCCTCGGCGACTGTGGTCTATAGTTCTCCGTAGGTTCTCGCTCTCCAATTAATACTACAGGAATGTTGGAGCAACATTGACAAAATAGCGCAAATCCCGCACAATCTTTCCCCCAACGTCCTTGTCCCCTCCTCTCCCCAAATACGTATCAACATATACACTACCACACATCCCAGAAGACCAATCGGTAGCTTTCTACTTGCCCCGGTTGGGTCAGTGACCCGCAGAGAGAGATACCTGGAGGAGGAAAAAAAGCAAGCTGGCGTCTTAGTGGACGCTTGATGTCTTGTTTCAGGGGAGCTGGATCACCTCCCATGATATAACATTCACCACACTTATGGAACTAATACCTTAATTAGTTGTCACTCTCGGAAAGAATATAACTCATTCAGTTGATGCAGAAAAGGAAATCAATAAGAATATTCTAAACCACAATGTTCAATTTATAGCGCGTTCTATAACCGTAGAGAAATCACCAAAATAATTGTGCTGTAGTCACAAAAGTGCAGTAGGAAAATTTCGGATCACGGAACGGAACGTCACGGAACAAGCTCTAGCTGTCAGTGACCGTAATGCAGCCTCTATTTGTACAGAATGTCTCAGAATTAATATTACAAAATTATAAGGCATGTAGACGGATTGAAAATCTCGGTTTGTCAATAAATACGACAAGACAATTTATTTGAAGAGGTTACACATGTGACATTTGCTCCATATTTATAAGCAACTCCTCATGTAATGTTGTTCGTCTGGTACACAAGAAATCTTTGCATCAGAAAGCAACCTGTTGCACGACAGTGCTTCAAGTTGCCAACCAATCAGGATGAAATGTTACGTGTGTAAATAGTTGAATGAAATTTCCCACCTTATGTTCATTGGCAAGTGCTGATTAACATCGACCACTCTTCATGTTCTAGGAATGTAACGTTTATTCTGAGACGGCTTGTGTATTATCATTGTGCAGCAGGGGAACGGAACGCTTTTGGTAACTCATGCAGCAATTGCTGTCGACTCTGTCGCCTTTGGTGGCGAGTCTTCAGAGCACCATCTCTTCGCTAACGTTGGTGGCCCTAGGCAATGCACGATTCACGTGACACGGTAATTACAGTTCCACAGCTTGATGCAATACAGCCCTTTGCTCTCTGTTGCAGGTGAGCGAGCGTTTCAAAGGAAGTCATCTTCCGCTGATTGACGGGGACCAAGTGGTGAGTTAAATGACGCCCTGCGGTGAATAGTTGCGTCTCGTTGGCTTCGAAAAACGTTTTTGAAGAAGGCATTTGAATTTATTAAAGTACATATTTTTAAATGAATTCATGTTAAAGTGGTAACTAGAAGATAATGAGAATTTTTGAGTCAAATGTTTCTTAATTTATTGTGAGGAGTGTTTTTTCAAATATTACATCAACAGGGTAGAATATAAGTCATTGATTAGTGCACTTGCTATCTAAAAAAAGGATGAATAATATTTAAACACCTATGAAGAACGCCATTATTCACCGATTCTCTTACGGTGTGCAATATTCATTTGCCATGCACTAGGACGAAATATCTATTTACAATTCTTTATTTCTGCATAAAGGGAGAGTTTTAAACATAATCCAAGAATAAACTATCGTACAGCTATGTAAATCTCATATTAGGACGCAATTTTGTTCGGGGGAAACTCGTCGATGTGAGGTAACAAGTGCCATTATGCCCACATGTCAGAAAAATATTTATCTTATTAAATTTTAAACGGTAATTTTTGTTCCCAAAACTTTCTAAACTCATAAAGTAATTGTTTAAAAATGTGTTTAATCAAACACTGAACTGCATGAGCGGCTAATGTAATCCTAGAACCACTTATCAATCATGCTGTTGATTTTGGAGTTGAATTACTAGGGAAGATATATAATTTAACCCCCTTACTTTCTCAATCTGAAATTGAAAATTCCTGAAAAAAACAAACAAATACACTAACACAAACGAATAAATGTCAAAGATGGACCTAGTCCATAATTCTTTGAAGTGAGGACCTACTGAAGCATTTCAGCTACCAACGCCAACAAAATGTACCTTAAGCTCTTTTTGGAAAGATAATTATCATCTCCCATTTGCCAACAGTAGTACTAATCATAACGTACCAATCTTAAAAAATATATGTTGAAGTTAGTATACGTTCAAAGATTGCCACGCTGAAACTAATGGAAAAATTAAGTTTTGAGAAAAAAATAATTTACAATTTTGCTGGTGGTTGAAACACCGGTAACACGCGATTGATATTGGATGAATTATAGTTTAGTTATATTATACTTATTAATTATATTTATTAATAGTTTAATTATAATTAGTCTTATTTAACAAGTACTATAAACCCAAACCAATAGTAATTATCATAAAATGCAATAAACCAAGATTTATAAATGAAAATTCGTATTTTATACGTTATGCAAGTTCACCACGAACGACATGTTCTTGAATAAGAACCACTGGTATATATACCCGACATTAAAACGACATTGATGCCAACGTCCGCCCAGCCATGCGTGCTTTCCGGGGTGCAGGAAGCGAGGCGCACCCATGTATTCCGTCGCGCCGAGGCTTCTCTGCGGTGCCGGGGCGGGACCTCCGGGCGCCTTGCAGAACTCGCGCCCGTCCCGGCAAGTTCCGTGTCGACTTCTCGGAGGTGAATTTAGTTGGAGAGGTCAAGTGCCCGGCGGCGCGGGCAGGGCGAGTAGGCGGGCGAAGTGAAGCGACGCGCTCTGCCGTGGTGTTCTGGGCTCCGGAGGCCATTTCGGTCGCTGGCTCTTTGCAGTCGGCCCCGACGGCACGTTTTCGCCGTGGTCTCCACTGCAGGCGTGGTCCTCCTTCTCCTCCGCCGCCACCACCGCCATCGTCTCGCAGCCACCGCCATCACAACCAACACAACTGACCCCGGCCTCCTTCATAAACACCCCACCACCACCACCATCACTACCACTACCACTACCACTACCACTACCACTACCACTACCACTACCACCACCACAACCACCACCACTACCACCACCACTACCACTACTACCACCACCACCACCACTACCACTACCACCACCAACCATGTCCTACGCCGCCGCCATCTCAGCCACACATCATTATCCCCACCCCCGTCTTCGCAACGACTATCCCCACCATCTCCATCAGCCCTGCCGCTGCCACCACCACTAACACAAGATGAGCTATCACTAACCCAACCACTACCGCTCCTGTCGCCATCGCTATCACAAGCAACACCACCACTACCACCCTACTGCGACGACTGCGATCACAGCAACTACTATCACTCTCACAGCCCCACTTGACAGTCACAACCTCCGAAACTACTAGCTCCGACACGCACTACCACTGCCGCCACTATCACCGCTACCACCGTCTCCATAGCTATCACAACCACCACTACCCCCAGAAGAATCTTCCCCATCGCCACCTCTATCATTACACCCATCACTCCACTACCCACCCACCAATCCTTCCACTAACATCACTACTCCGAACCTCCATCAAAACATCACTTCTATCATCGTCCCTGCCACCACGGCAATCATCATAACCATCACCACCACCCTTCCAATCTCACCAATATTACAACCGCCACCACCACCCGAATTCTACCATCACCATCGCCCCATCACTACCATCAAAACTGGCGTTGAATTTGGCGCATTTTTTTTGTAGCCCCGTCCGCTTGAGGAGCGCAGAGGCAAAAGTGCGTGCTACGGAAGGCAAGATGGTGACACGCACCCACCCTCCCTGATTGTTTGCTTCATGAGTCCAAGCGAATTTGCGAAGGCCGTTGTTACCGTAAGTGTAGTGCGTGTTTCCTCTTGGGAGGTGGTGGTGATTTTATCTCGCTGGATGGCGAGATCCGGCACCGACCTACTGTCTGTTAGCGGAGTTGTCCCTACCAGGTATCTCCCACCAGCGTGGTATCACCCCAGCCGGGACAAGCTCCAAGCTTTCGACTGGTCCCCCGATATGTGTGGTTGTGTAACTCATGTAAGTGTATGTTGAAGTAATGAGTGAGGAATGGTCAAGGAAGAGGAAGGAAAGACAGCGCAATGTTCGGGTACTCGGTTGATAGGGTACTGCTCCGGCATTAGCCTACTATTCATCAAAGAAACCACCGAAAACCACCCTTCAGAGCTAGAATTCTACTTCTGACAGGACGAATCCCACCTAGCTCACTAGCTAGTGGCAAAAATCCTGCAACGGTCGTGACTCGGACCCCAGTACCCCCCGGATAGAGTCACTACAGTGACATACGTTGATGTCCTGAGCCACCTTTGCCGATATCACAGTAAATTAAAATGTTCATCTTTCAGAACTGCTTTGTAGTCGTTGTTGATTTAAGGGGATGGTTGAATGAGTTTTGACGTTGACGATGTGAAGCGGTAATTGAAATAGACGGGGTGTGTTGCTGCTGGACGGCAGTTGAAGTAAGAGTGTGTTGCGATGGACGGTGGGAGGATTTGGAAACGGTCAAAGTTAATATGGTGATGTTACGGTTAAAACGCGCGTTGTTCAAATAAGCTGGTGTTATGAATGAGTTATCGGGGAGGCAAGGCAATGAGGAAAGATACTATGCTGAAAAACATAGTTACTGAGATATTTTAATAAAGGTAAAATCATTTACGGAAAACTTTAATTTACATTAGAGAAAGTAATACGAAACTCTGTTAAAACAGAAAGTAATTGCAAGATTTTACTTATTGCATAATGAAATAACGTAATTTAGTTCAATGTATACCGGTATTTACTTACAAGAAGAAAAGTCATTGTCACATACCTAATATCTTGAAATAAAATTTCATTTTTGTACAAGAATTGATAACTATATTTAATTAAATACTTTTCACAATAAATGACATGAGTACTTTTCATTCTTAAAACCACTGAAAACTGTAGTCTTTATTTATTTATTGTTCCCTGGTCTTCATGTTTCACCATGCAATATACTGTTTATTGCGTGAACAATGTTTGCTGACATTCAGACCCAGCCTTTGGTTTCGAATTGGCGAAAACAGATCCGAAACGTTGAATAATCCATGAATATCAGCTTACCGCAACGTCTCCAACTCCACACAAGTTTCGCTCGCCGTTGCAGGAAAGAAAAGCAAGCCAAAGAACAAGGCATGGCGGAACGCGCGAGCGGCGAGCGGCTGGCGGCGGTGAGGCGGGGGCCGGTGGGCGGGTGGATGGGGCAGTGTTGGATGGCGATGACCTCCCCCGCGCTGCTTTGAAGTGGGCGGTGGCCGCGGAAAGCGGGGAGGAGGGGCAGTAACCGGGAACGCTGCGTCATGACGGACGGGGGGCGCCAATGGCTCTTGGCGCTGAAGCACGCGGCGCTCTTTGTTGCCGCCGCCCGCCCCCTATTCGTCTTCCCCCATTCCCCTCACCCCCTTCCTCCTCACCGTCGAACGCTCTCGCGCGCTCGTGCCTCGTTGAAAAATTTGATTTGTAATCTGTTTACAAACGGACAGTTATGGGCTCTCGCCCCCCACCCTCTCCCAGCCTCCCTACTCAACCCGCGCTTCTGCCCGGTGAACGAACGCGGGCGCTGGCGTGGGGAACGACGGGGGTGAGTCGTGCATACAATACCGCTCTCTCGTCTCAGTGTTGCCACCTGACGTTGTTCTTCGTTCGTATCAACGCTCGCGCCTGTATCGCATTCTCTACTAGTACAATGTGCACCCGGCTTCTCTGTAGTTACTACACTGTTTTGCGAATTGCATTGCTTGTTCAATGTTCACACCGAAAGCTGCCTTTTCGATCAGGAAAGGTGAACTTCAAAATTACAGTATTCTAATTGGAAAGTCCGTCTGCATGTAATCTTGAGCTTTCAGAGGTTCATGCTATCTTTAAGTGCAATTTTTACACTCGCAAAAAATAAAGAGTTTATTTACGTATCGATGAAATACAATTTAATGTTAGTAAAATGGCTTTCTTCTTTCACTTCTACATCGTTTTTCTCAATTCCAACAAAAATTAAATCTTTTAAGCTAAAAAATTGAATGCCTATCGCATCTGATATCCATCTAATTCATTCTGTCATTGATTGATGATCATTGATATTGATAAAGAAGTCAGAATAAAGCATTTCAGTGTAACTAAAACTGTTAAAATGTTGTCGAATGCTGTATAGCGCTTCTGTGTCAATTTTGCTGTCAATGCCCATATTACAAACGGAAAGTTGAGG